TTCTCAGGTGACACTGATGTTACTTGGGAGAGCTACTCCTCTAAGACAGTGGCTTTTCACACGAGACAGAAAGAGATCACCACAGAGCCTGGAAAGCCACACAAGCCAAGCCCACACCAGGAGTTCTGGATTGGGACCCCGGGATCTTTGCTAGGGTTTCTTTCTCCTCGATTTTTTGTCTCTAAAGCTCCACAGGTGAATCGAATATGTGTCTGCATAGGAAGCTTCAGTCCTAAATAATATCAATAGCATAAAACTTGCATGCTAATATGCAAAGCAGTGAGTGCTGAATGCCCGTGCCACAAGGTTGAATGAAAGTAAATACTCACCCTGATACTCTCCCAATGCCTGTAATAATGCCACCGGCAGGGACCTCCTCATTACCATATAACTGGTAACCTGCAAACTGGGAAAATTCCAGAAACGGAGACCTGAGGGGAAGAAAGGATGTTGCTTTAATTAATGTCATTATACCAAATATAACAGTTACACATAGAAAAAGAAAAGCTATTTTTCTTTAATGAGTCAATGTTTCAAATGTGCATGCTGTATTCTACAAAAAAAAGAATATCTAAAACAAAATCTAGTGTGAATATTGTGGTGATTTATAAGGTACAGCCATACAATAGGACACTAGGTACTTATTTTAAAAGATGTTATACAAATGTATTTATTAATATAGGAAGAGAATAACACCTATATTAGAAAGAATTACCATGTGCCAGGCTGTCTTCTAGGACTTTTGGAAACCTAACTCATTTACTCCTAAGAACTATCTTCTGAGGTGGATCCTATTATGATCCCTAGTGACTGATGAAGAAACTGAAACACAGAGATTAAGTCACTTGTCTAAGGTCACACACCTAGTAAGTGGCAGAGCTGGGTTTTAACAGCAATCTGGGACCAGGGTCTTAACTACTGTATTATTCTAGCTCGCTCTTACTTAAATGTTCAAGATACAGTTAAGTGGCGGGAAAAGAAGGTTACAAAACCTCACATTTAGTATGATTCCATTTTTCTTTTAAAAAATGATGTGTCTAATACGCCTATGAATAAAAACGGCCTAAAAGGATACATGCTGGGTGTTGGCAGTGTTTGTCTCTGGGTTAAGTGTGTGTGTGCATGTCATAAAAAATACTTTTGGAGTCTTTATTTCCTTCTCTCCACTACCCGACCACCCAATCCTTCAGGAAATACTGTTGGGTCAACTCTCTTGCCAACACACGCAGAACCTGACATTCGCATCATCTCCACTACTGGTACCCTTGTCCAAGCCACCGTCATGTTTCTCCTGAATCACTGCCCTCTAACTGGTCTCAGTGCTCCCACCTTTGCTGCCCAGTCTGCTCAAAACACAGCAGCCAGAATAACTCTTTCCAAACATTAAAAACTCCACAAAAGCTCCCCATTTCTCTCAGAGTGAGAGTCGAAACTCTTACACTGGCCTACAACATCTTATGGAATTTGACCCTGTCTCCTACTACTCTCTCCTTCATGTCCTCTGCCCAGCCGCACTGGCCTCCTGGCTCCTTGAGCATATCAGCACCTCCAGCACATTCCCACCTCAGGGCCTTTGCACTGGCCATTTCCTCTGCCTGCAACATTCTTTCCCCAATATTTACAGGGCTGTCTCTCTTCACTCCTTCAAATCTTTGCTCAAATGTCACCTTCTCAATGAGGCCTATCCTAACCACCTCATTTAAAATTGCAACTTGACTCTCATCTTCTGACCCCTTTCTCTAGTCTACCTGTTCTTCTTCCCATGGCATTCACCGGTTTTAACATACTACATAATTTACAACATACATCATTTATTTTCAATGTCCTCCTGCTACAACGTAAACCCCCAGTTGGGCAAGGATCTTCGTCTATTTTGTTCATTGATGAATTATTAGCACCAGGAACAGTGCCTGACACATAGTAGCTTCTCAATAAACATTTGTGGTTGAATCGTACAATAAGAACCAGAATTTAAAATCACTGATTTATAAAACTAAGGAAGTACCATGGAATAGAGAACACTGAGTTAGGACTTAGCTATATACCAACCCTGGGTCCAAAAGACCGTCAACTCTTTCTCTGGGTAACAGTTTTCCTCTCGATATGTGACGTTCTCGGGCTTTCTCGTTACCTCCTAGGATAAAAACGGGATTAGATTAGATTGAGATGCTATAAGGTCTCCATTTAACTTAATGCCAAAAAAAAAAAAAAAGTGTGATACTTAGTCCAAAATACAGAGCTTTTAAAAGTTCAACATATCCTGTGAGAAACAGCCAATTTTTCAGATCACTCAATTTACAAGCTGCCAATTTTCTGAAGTAGATAATTAAATTGGTGTTTTTTTAAAAGGCAACCTAGCCCTGATTTCACAGCATATTATACATTTTCTGAATTCACTAGTAATTACTTAAAGTAACACAATATGTTCTCTGCAACTCATGCATTGCAAACACTGCCTGATCTCCACATTTATTAAATACCTACTTCAAATATCTAACACTGTGCTATATAAAATTTGAAAAATTCCTACCTTCCTTTGTTCCAGGTAAAAAGCACTATTTTAGAAATGATTTCCATGATCAGCACAGCAAAACTTACCGGAGGGGGCCATTAGTGACCCATAACTCTTTAGGCTATCTCCAAACTTGAAAGAATTTAACACCTTATACAGCAGTTTAAAAATCCCCTTTTTTGTTAGTATCCTGACTCAGAGATTGTCTTTGGTGTTTTCTGGTGTTGCTCCAGACAAAGAAAATGACAATAATTCAAGAGTCCACTGAGGTAGCCTGATGTGGCTGCTTGATGTGAGAGGCACACCAAACCTCACCACCACCCCACCACCCCCACTCCTACCCCCCGGCCCCGGGTTGCTGGGCTCTTGGTCTTGGGAATATCGATAACCTACTCTCAGCAAACTAAGGTAACAGATCAGAGGATCAAACTGTACCTTAAAATGCTATTTTCACTGTTGCCCGAGAAGTTTATCTTAATATACTCTGTCTAATACAATGTTCAGCTATTTAAGAAAGCTGTTTCTTTGCTTTTTAGGTGAGAATATAAGTTATATCTATTTCAAATAAGGTTCCAGGTACAACTTTATTTTTCATACTAGGACCCTATCCTGTATCTAAGGGGATTTTTTTTTTCTGAAGAAGTGGATGGCATACTTTAAAGATTAAACCTGCCTTAAAGTCACAAAGAAAATAATAGCACACATCTAATCTTTTAAAATGCAAATAACTCTGGAAGGGGAAGATTTAGATATAAAATAGTGTAACTAAGTAAACACTTTTCTCCTTTCTCCCAACCAGTTAACTCAGAGTTCCTTACCGAAGTGCATGGAAGGGTAAGAGAGGGGGGAGGGAGGCAGGGAGGGCTCCAAAGGGGCAGAGGAAATTTCTGGGAGTGAAACGTTCATTATGCTGATTGTGGTGATGGTTTCATGAGTGCATAAATATGTCAAAACTCAAAGTATACTCTTTAAATGATGCAGCTCATTGTATGTAAATTATATCTTAATACAGCTGTTTAAAAATAAATAGTAAAAGAAAAATGAACTCAAAGCACTGTAAGGAAGGCCAGGCCCCCTGGTGAGGGTCTTTGGTAGTCAGGTGACATAAGTGCCTGGTAAGGGGCCAGTAGGGGAAGGGGTAACAGGGAAGCGTGGGATGACGAGATGATACAAATTTTTTTTAAGTGCTGAAGACAACATCATTCTTTCTGAATTCTGCCTAGAGATTGAATTTGCAATTTGGAACAGCTAGTGAATTCTGGTTTTATTAAGAAAAACAGAAAGAGGGTTATCCTGATGCAGATTCTCAGAATTAAGCCCCTCTGGCATTTACACAGGCCTACAATATGTGGACCCTGAGAAAAAGACAGCAAGACACAGCATCTTAGTTTTCCAAGGATTATTCTGAAAGATTCTGTATTAATTATGTCCATTCCCACAAACTCAGAGCCAGAAAAGCCAGTTTCCTTCTATCTCATGACATTGCATCATTTCTAAGACATACAGTGTGTTCACATTTTAAGATCCCTGAAATGAGAAAGCATTTTACAGTTTGTAGCATATTTCAATCACTGTCACCAGGGGGCAGTCACCACCCAGCTGTCTGCCTCTGCAAGCGCAGCACAAATGTCTATGGTCACTTCAGCTGTTGACCTGCATTGTTGGAACTACATGCATGGAATTTATCTTCCACTTTAAAATGCCTTCAAAAACTACACATGCCTTACCTTTAGGTCATTAAAAACCCCTGTTTCAACCACCAAAACTATTTGTGATTTTCTATATCAATTAAAGTTATTACCCAGCTTTATAAAAACTAAGCACTTCTGAATCTATCAAAACACAGTCCTTCAATTAACTTGTGTTCATCAAAGCACTCAGTTCTGGCTATTATGAATAACAGGGGTAGGTAGGTAGGAGGGTTACTTATAGAAACAGAGTTAGTGGACATTTGTTATTCTTTTTGACCAGACAGCTCTTGAACTCCTGTTCTAGCGTGGGAAAATGGTGTTAAAAAATGACATGAGTTTTGTCTATTGGATATGATTGGAGAAGCAAAATATCCTGCTGGTAAGCGTCTCTGAAAGATAACTGGAATCATACTCTTGAAGCCATTTTGAACATTCAGATGAGTATGATGCTGTGACTGAAACTAAACCTTAAGAACCAATAGTTTAAAAATCGATGAATTTGAATTTCTACTTTCCCCCAAATAGTGGAGGTGCTGTGTGAGCAGAAAAACTAGCCAAGTAATAGGGAAAAATGTCTGCACACCAACGAACGCAGCCTTGAAGAGTCAAAAGCTTAATGCTACTAGTTTTTCCTAAAACCAATAACTATAAAGGAACATTTTAATTAAAAGTATGAAAAATAATAATATAAATGGAGCCACTTCAAAATGGAGTAGAAGCTGCCATTTCAGACAAACTGCCTTGCACATCTTACTCCTCAAACTTTGGAATGTTAAAACTAGGCAACATTACCTTTGGACTGGGCCTAAAGCAGCACTACATTCCAACTATCTGCAAAACTATCATGAAAGCAGACATGACTACTGGACTGAAAATTAAAGACATTCTTTAGAATTATCATCACTATGTTAGCTTATCTCTATCTATGTAGAGAAAGTCCTTACTTAGCTTGTGAACACTGATAGCAATTCCTTCCTTCTATTTCTATAATTAGTCCCCTTAACTTTCTCATACCCCTTTGTCTTCACTTCCTAATTAGAACACTTTTTGGGTTTCTGCCTGAATCAGTACTTCCAGAAAAGCTATTCTTTTGATCTCAAATAAATGCTTGTTGCCTCTCACTTTGGCCTTTTATTTTTAAGTTAATAAAAGTATAAATTGAAGAATAAATGAGTGTTTACCTAGTCTTATCTTCTGTGCTCGTTCAT